TCGATACATGACTGACGAGGCAGATTTTTTCCCGCAGTAGGTTACCATTTCTTTCTGCGGTAGACCAGTTGCCATCCAAGGCTATAGAATCCGGTCTGTCCTGCTATTTACCCATAGCTTTAATAGGAGGATTCATATTGTCCCCAAGGGTATTAGCACATAAGTGACTGTAATGGATTCGACTGGAATTCGAACTCGGCTCTCCGATTCCTCAATCCGAGCCGCTATCCATTACTCCACAAAAAGAATACACATTATGAGCAACAAAAATAAATAAATAAATAAATAAAAGTTTGGATATTTTTTGTTCTTCTTGGTCTTCCCTTATCTGATTTTGAACGTGCCACAAGCTCCCCAAACAACCCTCCGCAGGTTTTTGAATTTAGAGTTGTCCTTCTCCTCGACCATAGAACCCAGTCTGTTCTGCTATTTACCCATAGCTGGTGGGGGAGAGAAGAAGAGGATTCATACCTTTCGCAAGGGTATTAGCACGTGAGTAGATGTAATGGATTCGACTGGAATTCGAACTCGGCTCTCCGATTCCTCAATCAAAGAGGAAACTGTAAAGAATCACCATTCTCAATATCCTGAAGGAATGCGGCTCATAGAAGAAGTAATAATACAATTTACTGAGGAGATGAAAAGAAAATGCAGTAGTTTAGTGAATGAGTAGAAAGAAAGAGAATTTTAAAAATCGCCAATTTATAAGAGCTCCGGTAACTTCTGCTTAGGTGCGATGATGGCTAGCCGTATATTTCTGTGATGAATGAAAAATCCTTCTTGACATCTTGAACAAATTAACTTAAAAGCAAATTGTATGTTTTATACTACTGATAATTTATAAACAAATTTTCTAGAATCGGAATTGGATGAATTGGGGATTCGAAGAATTGAGAATTTCCAGACCAAGACAGAATATAGAGGGTCTGAATGATACTGGAGAAAGGAGTTTTCAGATTTGTTGTCAGTTACTCTCTGTCTAGTAACAGATGCTAACCATTAAGTGTAAATAATCAAATGCATATAATCATAATCATAATAATAATAATCCCAGACCCATTTACGGAGATATGACCTGTTACAATTTTATGGGACTACACAAAACACACAGACAGAACAATCACAGCTAACCGCCCAGCCATTGTTATTAGAGATTGCACACAAAAAAGTGCCTCCTTATTGATATGGCGGTCCCTGCAGATTGAAATGTATCGTTGAAGATCTTCAAAAATCTATCAAAATACAAGGACCTTGAAATCGAAATCTCAAAAATGTGGCACATGGGAACATCAACAATCCCTGTTATAGTTGGAGCCCTCGGATTGGTTGAAAAAGATTCCAGTAGACTAAATGAAGGGATTCCTGGAAGTCCATGCCTTAAAGAAATACAAAAAATTGTTCTCACGTGTACAGCCCAAAGGGCTTTATCTATGTAAAATATGTTTGTGGGTTAGTTTGTTCTTGTATTTTTTTTTTTTTTATTGATCAGTGGAAATTGTCATGACGCCATTTCTAATCATAGGCCTCTGGGCGGGACCCGGAAAGAAATGTGTACACACCAGAAATCAAAAGAAATAAAATAATAATAGCATAACGTTCACGTCACTATTCTCCTAGTTATCATTTGGGGTACTGGAAAGAGAGGAAAAGAAAATTCTTTGTTTCAGTGAGAAAATGAATGAAAGAAAGAAGGGAAAATAAAGTGTTTAACGACTATATCAGTGAAATGAAAAAAGTTATTAATTTCAAATCTTTCATTTGTACCCGCTTACTTCTTAAAATAACGACTAACATTTATATTTATAATTGTTGTTGCAATATTTTGTCAAAGTTGTTAAGCACAAATATTTAACGGTGCGATAGGGGAATTTCTACGGATATTTTATTGTCGTAGAATTCTCCTTAGGGCCTAAGGACCATAGTTTAGACCCAGCTCTACAGGATACAAAGCAGGAAACAACATACACAAATAATAATAATAATCATAATAATAATAATTCTTAGCCCATATTCATTGGATATTATTTTATTCCCCCACCATTAATATAATCATGTAAATGAGTATTCATTTTCGTCATGCATGTTAATGATGACAAACAGAAGCATGTCTTAACGACTCAGCTTTGCGTTTTCTCCTTTCATTGGCAGGCCTTTAAGTTCCCAGGGAGAGACGGGTTTTTATTCGTATAGACGTAACTCAGAACCTCAAAGACGGCTGGGTCGTGCTGTTGAAGGTACCTCCTAGACGCCATCTCACTTGCACATACTCTGTGTGTTCCACACCTGTAAAATAAGAGGACATTTTTATGTTTGTATGTCATAAAGAAACTTAAATTCAAGTAATACTGACAATAAATAACAAAAGTGGTTTTATTTATCTCTCTCTATATATATATTATATATAAACCACCACAATCATAGCAACATCTGCAACCTTTGTCAACAAGAAAAACTAGCTATATTAACATTTCCAGACCCCCAAAAATATTTTGAATGAAAGATCGGAAATTATGTCCCGTTGTATTCATACTAAAAAGTTCCTTTTCAGTTCATATGAAGTGGGATGAAAAGAACGTATGTATATTTCATTTAATTTCCCATCGACGTATTTCCAATACACTTAATTTTCTTCGCTAATTTAGATAATGAATCTACGTTATAATATCTTCCTGGAATTTATTATCCATTTTCTGCTAATGTAACGTTACTAGGAAACGTATTTACAACGATAAAAGTTGAAGTCGCGGTCACGTTGAAAAGAGTCTACAAAAAAAAAAAAAACATTTTTTAAACTTATATATAACGTGGCAGAATCGTTGCATCAACGTTATTTTTCTTAATTGGGACCACCACCACCATCTTGTCTGCCAAAGGACTTCTCTTAACACCTACTACGTGGCGTTGTATAAAGCACTATAAAAGGAAAGCCCCCTCTCTCCGTCTTTCTCTACTTCTTACTTCTCTCCAACAACAGGATACCGTAATGACAAGACGTGTCATGTTTCTTTTCTTGGGATCTTAAACCCTGGGCATACTAGGTGTCGCATGATGAGCTAGTTTTAGCGTAAACATTATGCTATCTCATGTTTAGAATTACCCCATGTGACCACAATAACAGCTCCTTTACAACTGATAATATAAATACATATTTCACTCCTTTTTGGAACAATGTTACACCTTATTCTGTGTAGAAGTATATGTAAAATACGTGCATTTTAAATTCACTTATTTTGAAAATGATGAAATATTCTAGTGAATGCCTTTAGAATAGAGACCTTTACAATTGTGAAACTATGGACACCCACATAGAGAGAGAAGAAATAGTTTTATCTGATCTCAAGTGTTTCTGTTTGATAGACCAGCAGATGGTTCCTTTTTAAGTCCGGTCATCTAAACGGCAGCAAATTTAACCGAGGAGGGGAGTAAAGAGATTTTCGGAGATCAAGTGGCAACAAAATCGGAAATAGGCTATATCCGGATGTTGGTCTATACTAACAGTCATGCTTAGCATTGGAGAGACTTCTGGTCCGCCCTTAGCGGTAGACGGACTTGCGCACCGCGCGGTTCCGAAACCTCCATTTCGTATTGTCAACCACCACGTCGGGAAGAGTAGATGAGCGAAGAGTCGGTAGAGGAATAGCTGACATAGCAAAAGTTGTCCCAAGTATCACCTACCCAGTTGAGCCCTGAATAAAATGCCTACATATAATTTACGATACAGGGTTCGTGTCTTCTTTCTCGACGTGGCGTTTGTCTTTCATTGTGTTAACTTGTAAGCATGCAGCGGGCCCTTCCCCAGCACACCGACAAGATTGAGAATCGGAATGCGACGTGGGATGATCAGAGCTTAGACGAGGAATCATTTTGTATGTTTTAGACAATATTGTTCCACTTATGACTTCTATTAGCGTGAGTGACAAAACGAATTTAATGGAACATCGGATTATACTCTGGCATGTCTTAACACCAACAGTCAGTAACCAGAATTTCAATTAGATCTGTAGGTTCCATTTTGTGATCTCCTAAACGTTTTTGGTTTTCCATCGAAGAGGATAAATATCCACTTACATCAAGGATTCCCAACATTTTTTCGCACCATCGCCTACTTTCACATGACTGACTGTTATACCTGACATACCTATTCTATTATTAATAGACTCTCCCACACATAATAAGTAGTAGTAGTAGTAGCGGTCGCCAGTTGGGCTCAGTGGTGTTGAGCGAGTCAGTTGATGTCGGACATTGGAGTATCAACCATCACAACTAGATTGCTGCGTCATTAATTAATTATTATTACAAGTTCCTAACGTTTTGTACGTCGGACACTTTTTAGGACCGACTTAGCGAAATACAAACCTCCACTGTGAAAACTACTCTACAACACTGATGAGGCTGATTTTTTCCAGCTTCTGCGGTAGACCAGTTGCAATCCAATGCTATAGAACCCTGCCTGTCCTGCTATTTACCCTTAGCTGGGGAAGAAGAAAAGAATTCATATCTTTCCCAAGGTTATTAGCACGTAAGTGACTGTAATGGATTCGACTGGAATTCGAACTCGGCTCTCCGATTCCTCAATGCGAGCCGCTCCACAAAAAGATTATACATTATGAGCAACTAATAAAAATTAAAAGTTCGGATATTTTTTGTTCTTCTTGGTCTTCCCTTATTTGATTTTGAACTATTTTTGAATGTTAATGACCCCTTCTCAAAACTATAGCAAAAAAGTCGTTGTTTGCGAGGATATTTATATCTTATCCATTTATTCCCATTTAGCCTCCTGTATTTTTTTTGTTTTTTTTTTATACGGGTACTTTACATATCTTCTTTGAATATTTTTTTCGGGTAGCATATATTGAAATGCCTTTTTAATACTCAAAATCCTATATCACCCACCAAAATTTCCAGTCGCCCACCATTTTCTGTTCCGTTGCTCATCGTTTACTCATCAGTTGAAATCGCCCACCGGTAGGCGATATCGCCCAGGGTGGGGGAAACTTGACTTACATGTTCATGCCGCCGGTGACATCTGTTCTGAGGACGTTAAGGAAGAAAGCTTCTGATGCTTCGGCCCAATATTCCCATTCAGTGGCCATGGCGTACGTGCCCAATTTCCAAGTTCGTCTGGATTTTGCTAATCGGTAAGCCCTAGAAATCTGTGAAAGAAATGCAGTCAGAATGAACCAGTGGCAAACAGTTTGTTTTAGAAACAACGAGAGGCCGGACGATTGTACAGTTGAAGGAATATTTCGAAAGAAAAAAAATGTCATCTAATGATGAAATAATGAAATATAATTACAAAGATAATTAATTAAAGAAAATAATTTCGTATATAAAATGGCTTTTCTAATAATGTAATGAGTTTAAGATTTTCGGGTAGTGCCTAAGGTTACAGCTATATCATATTGATATTGGTTCTGTTTAGATCACCGAAATTAAGTCAAGCCTGGTTAGTACTTAAATGAGTACTTAAATGAGTACTTAAATTAAGTCAAGCCTGGTTAGTACTTAAATGAGTACTTAAATGAGTACTTAAATTAAGTCAAGGCTGGTTAGTACTTAAATGAGTACTTAAATGAGTACTTAAATTAAGTCAAGCCTGGTTAGTACTTAAATGAGTACTTAAATGAGTACTTAAATTAAGTCAAGCCTGGTTAGTACTTAAATGAGTACTTAAATGAGTATTAAATTAAGTCAAGCCTGGTTAGTACTTAAATGAGTACTTAAATGAGTACTTAAATTAAGTCAAGCCTGCTTAGTACTTAAATGAGTACTTAAATTAAGTCAAGCCTGGTTAGTACTTAAATGAGTACTTAAATGAGTACTTAAATTAAGTCAAGCCTGGTTAGTACTTAAATGAGTACTTAAATGAGTACTTAAATGAGTGACCGCTGAGGAATACCAAGAGCAATAAGCTACGCAACAGGCATGAAAAGCTGGTTACGGATACAATCTTATTATTTATACGGACAAATGCTCTTGATACGCTGAGGTAGTTCTGAACTGACAGTTGGGTGGCTAGGGTAAGAAGCAGAATCGGCGTGTTCGGTTCAAATTCATTGAGTGTTTTTTGTTTGATTTGCACTAATATCATTGGAAAAGCTATGGGTTAAATAGCAGTTTAGACCGAAAACTTTAACCTTGGTTGGCAATTATTAGAGGAGACGGAAAACACGTAAATAATAGAGCAGGCAATTCTAGCCTTTGTAGATCAATCAATCTGGAAGGATAAATTCAAAACCAATCTGAAGAAGGATGGTCTCCGTCAGGTTTTTTGTCCTAGACACACTTACTGCTACTATTACTACAGTACATGTAGTGATCCAACTACATGGATTACGGGATTCGTAATCCTCAATGAGTTTTATCCCAATTTATAGATTTGGCATTAGAAAAAAACGATCCAGGAAAAAGAGTTAAAATTCAAGTCACAGTCATTAATCTTAAAAAGAATCATCTTTGTGCACCCTGTCCCATCGCCAGTCATTTATGATTTTGTCGTTGTTACGCTAGTGTGATCGGAGCATATAAAGAGAAACGGAGACTAAACAAGTTATATTCTACATCTTTTTTCGTTCATATACCATGTTCCTATAGGACGTAAGCGATTATGACTCTCCACAACTACCTCCATTAAAACTCTGAGGAAAGTGAAGTTTAAGAAATATAACAATGAAGTTGAATTAGATTTGATAACAGATTCAAAGATTATGAATTTTCGCTTCTTACCACCTTCACTTTCATTTATATCATAGACTTAATTCATTATTACAGTTTTGATTGTAACCCTCTACCTTGGGTGAATCACAAGTAAAATCTTGTATTGGGTAAAATCCTCGGATCTTGTTGAACTTATAGCCCTACCACCTGCAACTACCTCAACTATCGTGTATTTGCTCGATTTGAAGCAGAAACAGTATTTTATAGCACAGAAGATATATGGGGCTAGGCAATTTACATATAATAATATTATAGTATTATTGAGCTAGACAATTTACATATAATAATATTATAGTATTATGGAGCTAGGCAATTTACATATAATAATATTATTGTATTGTATTTATATAATAAACTTTGTATAATTGAACTAGGCACATATAATAATACAGTTTATAGAGTATGAAAATATTATAGTATTATGGCAATTTACATATAATAATAATATTGTGTTATATAATAATATTGTAGTATTATTGAGCTAGACAATTTACATATAAAAATATTATAGTATTATGGAGCTAGGCAATTTACATATAATAATATTATTGTATTATTGAACTAGGCAATTTACATATAATAATATTTTGTATAATGGAACTAGGCAATTTACATATAATAATACAGTATTATAGAGCTAGGCAATTTACATATAATAATCATAAAGTATTATGGAGCGAGGCAATTTACATATAATAATAATACAGTGTTATAGAGCTAGGCAATTTACATACATTAATAATATAGTATTTTTGAGTTAGGCAATTTGCATATAATATAGTATTATGAATCTGGGCGAGTTACAAATTGTTGTAATCAACGGTATCTTGGTAAATGCCACCCTACAAATACCAAATTTCGCGTATAAACTCAGAACATATTTTGTTCAAATTTTTTTTAAATTGGGTCTCTTATATTCCATATTATACAGCATTTCTTAAATCTTTGTCAGTTTCCATTCAACTTTAAGCTTGTTAGCAATCAGTCCTATCTCTAGATGATTATAGTAAATATGAAAAATCTACTGACAACAGTGTGATCAAAGAATGCACTGAGATTACCATGTCAGTTCAATGAGATCCAATTCAAAGGGAGGACACCCACTTGTAACGGTCATTAATATGCCCTTGTAACATGTATAGTACTACTGATGTACTTTGCTTCATTATTACTTATTTTTGTGATCATAATATGTAGCATTCATTTCAATTTAGGTAACCTTTATTTAGGTACCTCAAAAAAAAGCTATACATAAAGTTTAAAATATTTAAAAAAATCTTTTTTGAAGGTTTAATTTGATTCCAAGCCAATAGATAAAAATTAATATTCCCAATGAGTAAAATACTTTGGCGTATATCAAACAGAATTTAAACTAATTGGAATCTTTTTTGTTCTACTTATTAAAATCGATTAATTCGTCCATATTGACATATCTGTCAACACAGCATAATTCTCTTCATTAAAATCTTTCATAAATAAAATATACTTTTCTGAAACGTTATTTGAGATTTAAACAAATATTACTTCTAGTTTAAAAATACCGTAGAAAAGCATTTTTAAAACTGCGTGGATGTTTTTATGTGTTGAATAATTTATTGACAGCCTGATGTTTGAGAAATTTAACTAACTTTTCGTTATATTTTTTTTTTTTACTGACCAGTAATCTTAAAAATTTAAAATAGTTTAAGCATTCTAATATTTTATTAAATTGTACGTTCTTTGGCTTTACAGACTTACTCACGAAGACGCTTATTGAGAAAAAGTTAGAAAATTATCAATAAATTTTAAATTTACTATCGGTAAATACATTATTTTCTAATAATGTCGCGTATGGGCGTCCGTATTTGCACAAAATCGACACGTTTATGAACACATGAGAATTTAAAATTATTTTTAAAATACTTGTGTTGTTGAATTGTAGTGAGATTTTTCATTTATGATAAGTAAATATAGTTTTAAGCTAATATCATTTTGTCACTACAAATTAATACAGAATTTTAAAGAATTTAAAAGTTTATAAATTATTCTAATTAAAAAAAATAGAAAATAGTTCTTGTAAAATTTCATTATAAATTAAAAAGATTTTTTTTCTTCAGACAATAGTGTTCATAATATATTCTATTCGTAAAATCAATTAAAAGCTTTTCTAATTAAATAATATCATAGTTTTATTGTATTTTTTATTTTAATATTCAGAGCAGATTTTCTGTAATTCGGGTTGTTTGACCGAAAACATCTTTTGATTTAAATTCTCTGATAACTAACATAAATAGTAAGTGATACAAAAAAAATAAATAAATAAATAAAAAAAGAATTTCTCGAAATTTCATAAAATTAAATGAGTGGTGATAGCAGATGTAAAAATATATTTTTTTACCAAAATTTAAAGAATAATTTCATTAATTTCTAAGTCCTGAAAGTTTCCTTTTATTCCGACAATTATCTGATTTTTGCATTAATTTCCAAATCAATGGGTTTTTTTTTAACCGCAAAAGACGCTTAAATTTCCTGTAAAAATATAAGGACCAACGTTGATGCCAGAAAAACAAGATAACTCTATAAAAGTCAGGAATCTATTTTACAATGTAGAGACATTATGATCAGGACCCTGTTTGTAAATCGATAAAAATATTTTCGCTTCTGACAAAAGTCTTGGCTTAAAGAAGGTCTAATAAATTAATGAATGCTAATCTACAAAAATTATTTCGCGCCAAAATTTTCCCTATTTTTCAGGAGTGGACTAGTTTATTTAAATAGTCTCCAGGATAATCTTAAAAACGAACCAGACTATATGTATATATAGTATAGTTTGTTCATATATATATATATATATATATATATATATATATATATGCAAATTTTTATATAAATTTTTGTGTATCAAGAACAGTTTTGAAAAAAAAGATGTATCACAAATTGGAAAAAGGTTTTGTGATGCATTTCAGTCCGATGAAGTCCTAACGGATGAAACGAGTCACAGAATTTTTCCAATTTGTCATTTATATTATATATATATATATATATATATATATATATATATATATATATATAATATATATAAAAATAATCATACATAGAATCAATCAGCAATATTAATGCGATTAATGGCGAAATCACTTCGCTAGTAGAACATAATGTATGTATTAAAATACTGTTAATCCATTGAATGGTGTGGTCCTCATTTATAAAACTGGATGCTGCCTAATATTATATATATATATATATATATATATATATATATATATATATTTAGTACAAATATAAAATTTGTCACTTAGCTGATTGATGTTATATTTAACACCTCGACTTCAAAGTTTTGTAGACGGAGCTTTGTGTTCGGTCCACTCGTCAGGGGCAATCAGAAAATGTCTGTCAATTTTCCCTTTTTCATTATTTTTATATTAAGTTAAAAAATAATTTATACTCTTCTTTTTTTTTCTTATTGGTGATGATAATCCATCCGTATGATTTAGCGTCATTCAGAAGTGAAATTTTTCTTGTGCCGATGTTTATATCGAACTCTAAAATAACAAAACTTTTTTGCAATGTGTAATGAAATTCAGGAAATTACCTTACTACTCCAGGTCGACGGCATATATCTCATGATAAGGTGAGCAAATTCGTGACTCAAAATGTTTTCCTTTCGGCCGTAGGGGTCCCGCGCATTACATAGTACTATATCGTCCAAGCATACAGCGCGAGAGTTAGTTAGTCCAGCAACACGTGACCATTTGCGACCATCAAATGTGCATGTAATTGCACATTGTCCACTGCAACGGCCTACGAAATGACAAGTCAACAGAAACAGTTCAGTTATTAATATAAACAATTTAGTTCGATGAAATACTTTCTCGTAATATACGAACAATCACAACAAAAAAACTTATATATTCGTGTTTTTGTTTTGTTTTCTTTCTTTTTACCGATAACGTTATCTGGGCCGGGATTTCCAGAGTTTTATGTTAATCAACTGTAAAATCTAGATTTGAGAGTTTTAAAGCGTGTCCAGAATTAGGGAAATCGAAAATGAACTTTATAAATAAGTAAATAAATAAGAATTTTCGGGATCATATGCCAATTCGGCCGAAAGGTAAGGAATTCCGATCATGGGCTTATATAGTCCGGCTGCATTCTAGAACAGCTAATCACAAGCTGTTCATCGAGAAAGAGTTGCAGTCTGAGTGATGAGCAATCATAAACCGCTTGTAGCGTGGAGCAGTGTGAGTAACAGTCGCAGTTAAAGATTGGCAGGGGGTGGCAGTCGGTGTTCTCATTGGCCAAATGGAAGATCGGGTTCGTTTATCTGTCGTGCGAGAAAGCAGAAATAACAGTGACAGTGTCAGGTTAATCCATAAATAAACAACTAAGTATATAGAAAACAGATCGTTGAATAAAACTGACTTGTCGATGAAGAACCGTTTAAGGTGGCCAACTGTGTATTTACCATTGAACTTTTTCAATGTTGATGAGGGTCTACTATCTTTTGTCCATTATCTTTTATTTGCAATTACTTCGTTTATTTTCTTTTTCGCTACTACTTCCCCACTCATGGGTTAAATAGTGTAAACTATACACTTCAGCTTTGGTTGGCAACCAGTTTAGAAGAAAGAAAACTCTGAATTCAAAACTGTACATAGCCCTGACAGAGCCTATACTCAGCAGCTAACGAAAGGATCGTAGCATTTACAATGTCTTTATCATCCCGAATACGGTCATTTCATCAATCAATCACTTCTTTGTGGTGTCTGTGTGGTGGATAAGGTTCATTTGTCTACAATCAGATTGGTTCTTGAAAATAACTGAGACTGTCAAATGTACTTGAACAGAAAAACAACACAAACATGAACATCGAACAGTTTATTTACAATTTTGATCCCAATACACAACACCTTATTCGAAAATGGAAAAAAATACAATAAAAAACTAAACAGACAGAACTTGTCGGTTCTATTTAATCAAACTCATTCATATATATATATATATATATATATATATATATATATATATAATTATTTATTTAAAAATGTGATTCCAACACGCTACATAAGAATTCTCATGTTTCAAAACAAGAGCCGAAAAACTTCAATATAATTATTTGAATTAAATTGAATTAAAGTACTAAACATTTTGAAACATGAGAACTCTTATGTAGCGTGTTGGAATCATATTTTAAATAAATAATTATATTTATGCTCTACTTTTGTATCGAGCACTATTTTTTAAAAATAATAACAAAAATACTAAAGAACTTTGGATTATTTACGTAACGAGTTCTTTCCTATTTTCTATATATTTTTCACACACACACACATATATATATATATATATATATATATACAGTAATGTTCACCCTGTACAAGGCCCGGGAGCCACTCGAGGTAGAGGGTTACAGAGTGTGAGGCACAGTTTAGGTGGATATATGGAGAAGATAACGGTTAATCCTAGACTTGAACAGGTTAAGATTGTAGTGATCTGGAAAACACTCTCTGGGGAGTCGGTTCTACAGATCAATGCGGGAAGAAGCTGTTCGAGTGTAACTTACATCTCACAAATGAAATGCAAAGAAAATGTGAGTGGTACGCTACAATGTGCGTAATATGGCGGGTCTTAGTCGTGAAGGTTAGATAGGTGGAACTAAATACTGTAGTTCGTCTGACCACTTTCCATGGAAACAGCGTTAGAGCAGAAAGTATCTTGCGACGTTTCGTGGGGAAAGGTTCCAGTCAGGAAATAATAAGAACGCGGAGACACGTTTGGACTCTATCAAAACTGGGAACAGAAGACTGGGCAGCTCCATTCATTTTACGCCGTATCTGGTTCTTGTAAAGTTAAGGGATAGCGCAATGAGTCAGGTACATATTGGAGCGATACAGAGAACCGACCATTTCTCCAGCATCCTCTGAGAGAGCCCTTTCTGCCTTCCATCAGCGTGGCTGATGCTGACCTCCAGAAGAGTGACTAGATACGCCTTCTCGGATTAATAATCTCTGCTGACATAACGTGAAAAGACTATTGAATCCATTACTCGGTCAGCTGCCAAGAAAGTTGATTCACTGTGTCGTGCTAGATAATTTTTCTCTCCAGAGTCTATCTTACATATATCTATGTGTCTACTATTCGTCCACATATGATCCGGTGTTCCTGCTCTATATTTGGAGATTCTTGATAATATAAGAATCAGCAATATTATTGGTCCTGACCTGTTGTCTCGGTATCAATCACTTTCCCACTGCCATAAATTTGCTTCCCTGTGCCTTTTCTTTAAATACTTTCATGGTAATTGTTTGGATGAACTCTTTGCTATGGTACCTAGTCTTTATGAATTTAAGCAAAATACGAGATTAGTAACAAAATCTCATTAGTTTACAGTTGAATTGGCTATATGTAACCATAAGCTTTATACTAACAGTTTCTTTTCTTGCACTTCTCATTTGGGGAACTCCTTTCTGGCTTCTTGCTTCCCAGATAACTTTGATCTTCAAAAATTTAAATGCAATGTCAATCATTATTTAATGTCTTCCTTATTACTCTTCTATTGTTCTTGAACTGCAATAATGCTTCTGTTTTCTAATTATCTCACACCCAGTAACCCTTTGTTTCTTAGTGACTTTATTCCCTTAGACGAGGTGAATCCAATTAAAAAAAATTAAATACATGAGAAAATATATGAATTTCCATATATCAAAACAATTTATATATTTAAACACATTGGAAAATATGATATATAAATTTCTATATATCAAAATAATATTGTGTAATAGACTGACGACAAAAAATCTAAAGAAGAATCAGCATCTGACCCAGCATCTTGGCATCAGTCACTTTCTCACCCTCATAATGCAGTTTCTCTGTGCCTTTTCTATAAATACTTTCATGGTAATTGTTTGGATGAACTCTTTGCTATGGTGCCTGGTCTTTATGAATTTAAGCGCAGTACTAGATTGGCGGTAAGGTCTCATCAATTTGCAGTTGAATTTGCTAAATGCAACTATAAGTTTTATGCTAACAGTTTCTTTTCTCGCACTCTGGCTTGTTGAAGTCACTTCCGGCTCTATGCTTTCCAGTTAACTTTAATCTGCAAAAATTTAAATACCATGTCAATCGTCATCTACTGTCTTCCTGATTACTCTGCTATTGCTCTCGCTGCTTAGTAATGTTTTAGTTTTCTATTCTTTCATACCCCGTAATCCCTTGTGTCTTAGTTGCTTTACAACCTTCCTTCGGATAAATTCAAATAAAGATGTGTGGTCTCTCTGAGGTCCATTTTATTACTTGACAGATAACTTAATGTACCTGGTGCATTCAAAACATAATAATAATAATTAAAAGCAATGTCAATGTTTATCTACTGTCTTCCTTATTATTTTTCTATTGCTCTCGCTCCTTAATAATGTTTCTGCTTTTTAATTCTTTCACACCCAGTAACCTCTTGTCTCTTAGTGGCTTTACTGCTTTGTTTCGGGTACATCCGATTAAAAAAAAATCTTTAGTGATATATGCAAACAGAGATTAACTACAAATCTGTAGCGTATATCTGTTAATTCTATTTCTTTATTTTTTAATATATGTCCCATTACCGTTCATGCCGTAGACAATGGTGTTTATCTGCAATTTCCTATCTTGTGGCTCTCTAAGGAATGTTTTCTCTCTCACTATCCAATCCAGTCCCGATTCTTCCTCTTATTTACAGAAGCTCATTAAGTAGGTCACTCGATGCTTCAATGTACCGTCAACAAGTCTTGTGAGTGTCAAATTCTCCAAGACCCCTTTCCTCATCATGAGTTCCACAAATTATAACTCTCTTTCTCATTCTAAGTAAAAGTGTCCTTTTATTTCCATTTTTCTTAATTTCTTCATTGCTCACACACATACCGTCCATGGGAATAGATCCACAAAAAGCAACAAAGATGAGGATAGCTCTGTTAAAAATTGTGGCTAGTTTCATCAAAAGCGACGAAAATAAGGCTAGTTCTATTAAAAAGCAAGAAACCGATCCAATTATATTAGTGAATGCTAGACAATCTCCTCACAAGTGAGTTGAAGCAACAGAAATGTTGTTCTACAGTAGAAAACCATGGAGTGAACATGAGAAATAACGAAGTTTTAAAGAAAATGGAAGCAAAAAGGACGCTTATATTTAACATCAGGAAGAGACAGACGACATTTCTATGGCACATAATGAGAAAAGAAGACTTGGAAAAACAGATTGAAGGCAAAAGGAAAACAACGCATACACCTACATTAGGTACCTCCACTAATTCGATATAAGTAAGGTTTAAAATAATTTCTTGAAGCCTTCATTTCAGCTTTAATTGAAAGTTAAATGATTTCATATTTACTACTTTCAGTCTGCAAAATACTCTGTGATATGTTTCAAAATTTTATTGATCGGAATCGATTTTTTTCATTAAAATCAATCAAAACGGTCATTTTTTTTTACACCTTTGTAACAGAAGTTAATTTTCAACTTTAAAACTCCCGCCAAAAAAAATTCTGAAACGTTAGCAAATTTAAAGTTAAATTAATTTCATTTGAAACAAAAATTACTTACTTATGGCATAAAATGTTGTATACAAGCATTTCTTAATTACGGTGTCTTGTTTTTCTGACGGGTTAATCGATTTATTTACATTCGATTGACAGCCGAATGTGTACATAGTTAAGTATGGTGATGAACAATAAATTCTCGGTTTTAAAAATCTTGCAAAAATAAAATATGTATTTCTGAAACTTTAGCAAATTTAAAGTTAAATTAATTTGATTTGAATCAACTATTACTT